TTTTTTTTTTTTTTTTTTTTCCTTCCTCCCCCACCTCTCCCGAAGGGTAGGGATGTGTGATCAGGGAGTGGAAACAAATATGTCCTTATTTTCAATGCCCCCTTTGAAAGGGACAAAGTAAATGCTCCTTGCAAAATGTTCCTGACCTGCGAAGGGACCTTCGGAATTGTTCCGACTACCATGGATTACAATGGGGAAGCCAGGCCGGGGGATTTTCATGCTGGCTATCAAGAAATCGAAGGGATAAACTTGGGATACTTACAGATCAATGGCACCCAGATGTTTGCACTGGCCCAGGTCCTCAATGACCTGTTTAAGGATATTCCCAGGACCACCATCAGCAAGAAGATGGAGACCTTAAAGATCAAGAGCCGGCGCTGCGATCTCAAGGAGCTGCGGACCCTCAAAGCCATCAATTCGGTGCCCACCCGTGCCGTGAAGTGCTCGCTCATATCCAAGGCAGACCTGGAGGCTCTGTGCACCTCCTGCAAGAGCCTCAGCCCGCGCAGGAGGAAGAGGAAGAGGAAGAGCAAGCGGAGGGAGCAGCTGCTGCTGCACGAGCCGGGGCAGCTCTTCTCCTGCCGAGGCGGGGGCTGCTGCGAGGGTCCCGGGCACCCCACGGGGCCCCCTGCGCCTCGCAGGGCTCGCTCGGCCACCCCGCTGCTGCCGCAGCCCGTGGGTGGCTACGAGAAGCCCCCGCGGGGCGCGAAGGGCTTCGGCCTGGCCGCCCGGGGCGCGCTCGGCCTGCGCGGCTGCCCGCGGGAGCGGCCGCTGCTCCGCGCCGCGCTCCCCTCCGCTCCCGCCGGGCCGCGCTGCTCCCAGGGGCTCTTCCCGGGGGAGAAGGGTCCCGGGGGCGCCAGGAAAGGCCGCGCCTGCGGCTGCCCTGGCTCCAAGCGGCAGGGCACGTCCGCAGGCTACTCCAGCGACTCGGACTCCAGCCTGGACTTCGGCGGTTCCAGCCCGGCCACCTCCAGCGACTCGTCGGAGGAGGAGGAAGAGGAGGAGGAGGGGGACTCGTCGTGCAGCAGCGAGGAAGGCAGCTCCTCGGAGTCAGAGAGCAGCTCGCTGTGCAGCGGGGACTCAGTGCAGAGCACTCGGTACCGGCAAGCGGCTCTGCCCCGCTTGCAGCCCCCCCGCGAGCCCTCGGGCTCCGAGCGTGCCGCGGAGCCGCCCCCGAGCGCGGGCAAAGCCCCGCGTGCCGAGCCCGGCCTCCTCTTCCTCTCGCAGCAGCTCTGGGCCCGGACTTGGCGAGCAGCAACTTTGGAAAGTTGGAGTGCGGCTCCAGCAGTGCTGGGCTCGGCGGCGCAGCCGGAGCTGCACGTGAAGCAGGAGGCCTCCCCTTCCTCCTCCTCCTCCTCCTCCTGCTGCTGCTCCCCCGCTCCCTCCCCGAGCAGCACCCCCGGGGAGAAGCCGCAACAAAAGCAGCGCGGCGGGGGGGCCGCCGAGCCCTGCTCCAAAGGGGACGATTTGCACAAAGCAGCCTCGGACAATAGCGGCTCGTTAGGCCCGGCCGAGCGGGCGGAGACGCGGCCCGGCCCCCCGCCAGAGCCCGGGCCGGCCTCGGTGCCGCCGCCCGGGGAGCCGCGCAGGGAGCATTTCGACCGCCTCATCCGGCAGTCCAAGCTCTGGTGCTACGCGAAGGGCTTCAACGTGGACGCCAAAAGTTTGCGGCTCGGCGGGAGGACGGAGCCCTGCGACCCTCCCGCGGCCAAAGGCGCTGAGAGTCCCGGCTCGGAGAGAGTCCCCAAGCGCTGCCGCGTCGCCAGAGGCGCCGAGCGACAGAGCTCCCCGAAGGGGCGGCCACCAAAGACCCCAAGGAGGAAAGCCAGGAAGGGAAACCCTCCCTGCAAGCGGCTGGGCAGCGCGGGGCCGCCCCCGCCACGCAATTCCTTCAGTCTCATGGGCAGCTTCCCGTGTATTCCCTCGCTGATCGTGGGGGACGATGGGGACCTGTGTCCTGCCTCCTCCCTGGGCGGCAAAAACTCTTGGGCTCTCTCCAAAACTCACCCGCTCTGGAGCTGGCACCTGGGGGGCAACGCCATGCCCGTGCCCCCCAGCCTCAAATTCCGGGGCTATAGCCTGGAGGACCCCTAAGGACAGCACAGGAAAGGTGGTGGCGGCGGCGGGGGCCGGGAGCGGGGCCGCGATCGGGATCAGGATCGAGATCGGGGCTGGGATCGAGATGGTGGCCGGGGGGAGCGGGCCCAGCCTCCCGACACTTCCTAAAGGTCGGGGGGGACACGACGGTCCGCGGAGAAGTCGGTGGGTCCGAGGTGAGGCGGGTTTTGTGCATGATTTAGCTGGGAAGGGGCTTCAACTGCTGCGTGTGAGAGGGGCCGGGGCCGCCCGGTGCGGCAGGTTTAAAAATCGCCCCGCTGCAAAATACGACGCGTGATCCCGAAATGGGATCCCGAAATGTGCGGCTCGGGCAGGGACAAAGGACCCTGCCCCGCTCCTGCCGCCCACACCGCCCCACCCGCCCCGAAACCCAGGCTGAAAACAGCAGAGAACAGAGCTAATTCCTCCCCTTTCCGCCATAAAGGCGTTGGATTAAACTAATAATAATCCCACGCAGAGAGAAGCAATGATTCCATGTAGCCCAATCCCTCCCTTTTGGACCCAATCTAACCGGGGAGCAGCCTCGGCAATAGCGGCGCGAACAGGGCTGTAATGTTCGCCGTCCAGAGTGGCAGCAAGAAAACACGAAACTTTAAAAAGACCCGGAAATTCTATTTGCTAAGAGAAAACAGGAGGCTTTGAGGGGAGGTTTATTCGAAACCACTGCGTATATATTACAAAAAAAGAAAGAAAAAAAAAAAAAAAAGAGAAAAAAGAGTTGTTTCCTGGCTAATAACCCTATCTCGGGTAGCCTGGAGGGAACCGGCCTGTAAATGCTTTATGGGCCCCAGAAATCGGAAACAGGAGGCTTTGAGGGGAGGTTTATTCGAAACCACTGCGTATATATTACAAAAAAAGAAAGAAAAAAAAAAAAAGAAAAGAAAAAAGAGTTGTTTCCTGGCTAATAACCCTATCTCGGGTAGCCTGGAGGGAACCGGCCTGTAAATGCTTTATGGGCCCCAGAAATCGGATCCAGGAGCGCGAGCATCCAGGGCACAGATGGACAATTTGATCCCTCTCCAGCTCCGAGCTGGAATGCGGGCAGGAATGCGGCGGGAATGTCTCTCCCCTCTGTAAAGGAAATCATATCCCACTTAAACTTTTCCTGCAAACCCCGTGTTTTCCTAACTGGCTCTTTTGACGATTTCTGATGTGATTTCCACCCTACTTTGGCATCAAAGCCCGACGGGGTCTCTGAAGTCACCTCTGTTTTGGAAACGCAAAGCAAATCAAAGCTTTTTTTTTTTTTTTTTTTTTTTTTTTTTTTAGGAGAGAGTTGTGCTTTACACACACATATATATATATAAACTATTTCTCCCCTTCTTTTCAGCCCTCGTTTCGGCTGCTCCGATTTCGGGGAGTCCGGGGATTTTCGCTCCTCCTGTAGAGCAATCCCTACGAGCAGCGTTTTGTGGAAAAGGAAAATAAAGGGAAGGTGGAAAGGGAAAATGAATCATTGTAGGATCGAAAAGAAAATATTCAGCTCTGTCACGGCTGATTTTGATTTTTTGTTTGTTTGTTTAATTCGATTAGTGGGTAATAAAAGCTTTTCTTTTTTTTTTTTTTTTTTTTTTTACGGAAAAATAAAACATATCCCATGGAGGTGCGGAGGTGCTTGGAAGGGCGAACGTGTGGGAGAGGGACATGGGCGCGGGTTTTGCGCGGGTTGTGCCCGTTGCGAGCCGCAGGCCGCGCACGGCAACTCAGGAATGTTTTATAAGCGCAATAGAGGGGTCGCTTCGCGCGTGGGCGCGGGGCTGTGGGTACAACACGATACCTCAAAACTTTCCGCGCAAACACCCCGAGCGGCTCCCCCGGCTGTAGAATCGCCCCCTCCCAGAGAAAAACAAAGGGAGAGAAAAAAAAAAAAGAAAGAATAACAAAGAAAGAAAATGAACCCTCAATTGTTTGGGATATGTTTAAAGAAATGGAGGGATCCGAGAAAAAAAAAAAAAAAAAGTCTAATTTACCCACACCCCATCCCAGAAAGACTGGTAAGGGGAGTGGCAATGCGTGGAGAGGAAATGGGGAGGAAAAAGGGAAAATAGCAAGTTCAGACTGTCAGAATGTGCATGTTTGGAACTTGGGAAGGAGCAAAGGAAGCGGCGGGTGCGGGAAGAAGAGATTCCTCTGGGCGAAACAATGAGCCGCGAGCAGGGGCTGGTTGGGGGCCGAGCCAGCTCGGGTTATGAGCAAAGGGAAAAAATCAATTTATGTCGTTAAGACAGCAGAAAGGATAAAAAGGCCTCTTTATAACGACATTAGGGACATTGCTTTACTTCCAAACGGGTGCAAAAGAAGTGAGAAATGATTTTCTTTTCCATTAAAAAAGGTTGGTGTAGGTAGAAGAAAAATGAAAGTATCTTCTTGTAAGAAAAACAAATATAGAAAACTTTTATAAAAAGGTGCTGCGTTAAAAAAAAAAAAAAAACGCAGCCAGCTTCAGACTCAGGAAAACCTCAGCTTGGATGTGCTGTGGTGCTTTGTAATCCTGGTTCCTAGGGGTTTATTTGGGGCTGGGGGCGTGCGGGCCCCCCGAGGCCTGGCGAAATGGTGGGGGGAGCACAGCAGACTGGATTTCTTTGGGAATTTTCCTCATTCCTGTCCCTCCATCCTCGCCCGGCCAGCCTCCAAAAGGGATAATTTATTCTCAGCCTTTTCTGCTGCTGCCGCCTTGTCCCCTAGCCCAAAACATGTGTAAAATTATCCACCAAGGGGAGGGAAAAGCCACAGCCCTTTCCAGCCATGTATTTTTTTTTTTTATTATTATTATTATTATTTTGTTTCTGTTTAGATTTACTGTACCTTTATTTATTTGAAACTGTTGTAAGTATATGACGATGAAAGTATTAATTCCTGCGTGCAATATAGAATCCAGGCTGAGAAATAAAGAAAATAAAGACTTTTTTTTTTTTTTTTTTTTTTTTTAATCGTTGCCTTGTTCTTGGCCCTGTCTCCCTCCATGTGTTTGTGAATGGCGCCCACATCTGCCCACATCTGGGTGCCTGCCTGTGCGCTCGGGGTGTGTATCCGACTGTAGGCGAGTGTGACTGTCACAGCCGGATACTTGCAACACGTGTTGGGCCTTCGCATGTGCGAGTGGGGGTGACAGGGCTTCCTGGCACAGATTTTGCCCAAATTAAAGGTTTTTTTTTTTCCCCTAAACATTTAATCGGAAATCGATAGCTGCTTCCGGCTAATTTGTAGGCCAGACACGAGTACCCAGGGACTACCCTGAACATATGTTTTTATTTTGAGGACCTCAGGAGTTAGTGAAAAGGAAAGAGAACCTCTTTCCTTTATATAGATATAGATATAGATATAGATATAGATATAGATATAGATATAGATATAGATATAGATATATATATCTATATCTATATATATATATATATATAGATATATAGATATATAGATATATAGATATATAGATATATTTTTAATTCTTTGCCATGGAAAAAAAGGAAACTGGGAACTCTTGCTGGAGCAGAGACAGTCGATTGAACTCCCCAAACACACAAAAACACAGCACAAAACCAGCAGCACAAAGATTAAAAGTGGGTTTTTCTCAGCACAATGTGCTGGGAATGGCAGGGAAAGGCTTGGACTGGGATTTGGGAAGCCCTGGAAAATCCGTCTCTGGCTCTATCTGGCAGAAAGAACCCCAAAACAAGAGAAATGAAATGTGCTCCGGGCAGGACTTCATTAATCGCGATTACTAACTATGGATCACTCCATACAGCTCCATGCTGCAGGTAGAAGCCCTGGCAGCTCTTAAACACAAGTGAATCCCAGATGATCCCAGGACAGGACCATGCAAACCACCCCTGTCCTCAAACCTCCTCCTCACAATGTGGTTTTCTTCCCCTCTCCCATTTCTGGAAGCCAAATAACTTATTATTATTATTATTATTATTATTATTATTATTATTATTATTATTACTACTACTACTACTACTACTACTACTACTACTACTACTACTACTACTATTGTTGTTATTATTGTCATTATTACTATATCTATTGCACTCTCATTGCATGCAGGGGTTGCAGTGCAAGGTGTGGAAAGCAGCTCCATTTATTTAGTTTCGTGTCAGGGCGTTAATGATAAATCAGATGGCAAAGTGGGGGCTGGGGTAAACACCAAAAATAAAGGAGCAAAGCCCCACCGGGCTGGGGGCAGGGTGGGGGCCAGGGATTAAGCGTCGCCAAAGGCCTCTCATTTGCCTTGCTTGCACACAGGCAATAGAATCGAAGGGACAAGGGTTTATTGTGAATTATGGGGCTCTTTCTAACTCCCTTGTGATCAATATCCCCTCCTAAAGGGAAAGAAAAATCACTCCGCGGAGACTTTGTTTGTTTGTTGTTGTTGTTAAGGGCCCTGCTTGGCCAGCATTGAGGGAAGGTCCCTCTGGCAACCTGCTCTGGAGGCACCTTCAGATTAGGGGCCGCAGGGATAAGGCCCCCCACAGATAAGGTGTTCCGGATAAACCTCGGGGCTCCAGAGGTGGACGTTCTGCTTTTAGCCCTTGGGAGAAGTTACCCCAAAAGAGGCCATAGAGGAAGCTGTGCTCATCCTGCCCCCCCTTTCCCCAAACTAGCCAGGACAGGGGCAAATCTCCCTGCCCTGTGTCAGCCTGGAGCTCGTGCGGCAGGAGGTGCCCTCTTGGCATTCCTGCCCGGAATTCCTGCTCCGCTCCGGGCGGGAAAATGGGATCCAGTCGCTGCTGCCCTCAGGGCTCATCCTGTTACTGCCACATAGGGAAAAAGCCCCATTTTGCCCCAAATGCTCCCCAGGTACCATTCCCCCTCCTTCTTCCCAGAGAGGATCTGGCAGTCCTGCAAGCAGGACCTCGTGCACTCAGGGTTTTCCCTCTTCCCCACGGTTTTCCACACAGTGATGGCTCAGCTTCCCATCAGCTGGGAACAGGAGAGCCTGCCAGGGCGGCTGTTTACAATTAGCCGCTCGTTACAGT